AGTGGTCATGTCTTAGCTATATGTGGAGCACTTTCTTGAGCCTAATATCGTCACCACCTACTAATCTGCTTTGACAGAACCCCATTCCTTTACTTTTGTTGTGAATCTTTAATCTCTCAAATTCCTTCGTTATTTGGGTTCCTTTGTTAAGTTGACACTGAGCTCTATAAGTTCCGTCATTATGCTCTCGAATCTGTTTCTGTGGTGCAGTGTTAATTTTTAGGTTATGCTTCCCAAGCTGTTGCTCTTTTGTCAATCTTGTTTCCTTGGCATATTATTCCAGGGCCTGCCAGGCTCTCTGGTTATGTCAGAAGAACCTTGGTGAATTATATCTTTAACATCACTTGACATGTCTTTTAGCTCATGTATTGCTATCCTGAAGGATACCTAGAAATTTGTTAATGGTCTGTGATGTACTATAAAATGATCTTGCTGGTTTGACACTTTCTTTGATAATTACTTGCCACATTAATCATACATATTCTGTGTAAAATGGAATTTTTACAATTAATGATGTAGATAGATGGGAGTAAACATTACTCTTTTTATCATGAAGGTATCTTGATGTGATGCAGCATGAGCACAAATATAATCCGTAGACATTGCCATGGTGTAGCGGCAATGAAACTTTCCTTTCAAGCACAACCTTGGTTCAATCCTGAGTAGGGCGAGACAATTGGTATGTGCACTTGGCAGTAGTTGGGGAACAGAATATAAATAAATCGTGGGATTATTATCCGGGAAAATACGAAACTGACTGGTTCCAGTTCCTGACACAAGTTGTAAAAACTAACATTATAAAAACATAAAAAAATACAGAATGTGTTTCTTACAGCAGGAGCACAAGATTGGACCTATGTATCAACTCTGTATGTGTGCATGCTTGCATTCATGCATATGATAATCCTCACTGTTTATACACTACTAATACATGTACAAATTGAATGCCACTTACTGACAAAAACAGAATGCATTGTAAATGTACACTTTTGAGATTAATAACCTTGAACCTAAACATATTTAGAGCTTCTGTAGGTTGGTATGCTTATGAATGATTAAAATCATACAGAGTCGGATGCTTGTTACATTGTGAGTGGGCTGTCATGTACGTACCTAAATGTGTGCAGTGAAAGGTCTAAAGTCACACCTCATAGATATTGGACCTGTTGCATTTTTACCCTCTGACTCTCCATAATGCAATACGAAGTGAATCATGTTTGCTTTGACCACCATGCATTCACACTAATTTCACATTTACCCCACTCTGCATACAAGAGTTGTAAACAAGTGGAATGAGTTTGAACCAGGGGTAGTGGAAACATGTATGAAGTAGTACCAGGTAATAATGTGGTATAAAGGCACCAGATACAATAACAATGAAGAGGGGCTTTACAGCTAGACCTTGCTTCCACTTTACACATTATGTAAACACAAGTGCTTACTCATTCTCACAATGTAATAAGCATCCATTATGTATGCATCTGTGTATACACACACACACACACATGCATGTGGGTATGTCGTAATTCTGTATACATTTTGTTAAATTGGTAAAAGTACTGTACAGTATATTTAAAACAGGTCAAGGCAATTTAGTACAATTTAGTAAGGTTATTAAGGTACAATTAAGACCAGATAAATTGGATTATATTTTGGAGAGCTTATATTGCATGTTACTGGGTGTTTTTTCCTAATAATGCAAATCCACATGGGGGGTTCCTTGTGTGTTAATTCCTTGGTTCATTTTTCTTAAGAGAATGGTGGTTCTGTACTGTAGTTAAATTAGATTGGTTGCCGAATTTCACACCAAATTTCATAGTTCACAAAAATACTCTTAATGTATATACAGTAGAATGTTTTGGCTGCAGTTAAATAAAGAAATTAAGAAAGAGGTATTCTTCATGCAAGTGGAAGTACAGTAGTGATGAAACGAGAGAAAAATGTAAAGGGAACTATGGAATGTTTGTAAGAATCGAGCCTGGGGTTTTGGAATGTGCTGTGACTTGCAGTAGAAGTATCTACCGTATAATAATTGGTGTGGAGTGAAATTAACCATCATTACCAAACACTACATGAATGAATGAATGAATTCAATAGCTGGTAAGGGGACGTTTTCTACACTTAATGGAGACTTTGTGCATCTTGCAAGAAATTCCATAAAACTTTAATTCTTCTATAAATACAGTACTTTGTATTGGAGTTTTTATTGCTTTACAAAGACTAGCTTGGTCATGAGTGACTGGCACCTCTGTTGCAACTCGCTTTATTAGTCTACTTTGTTAAATACTTGTGTTTGTAATCTTTATAACTGGAGTATTGTTATCTGCACCCAGGTCTTGAATAGGGGAACTATAAGGAATTAACTACTCAAATTATGTATTTAAATGTTTTTCCAGAAATGTATTATTGAGGTGGTGTTGGGAGTGTGTGATGTGCATGATATTTTATGAAGAGATTGGTAGTACATAGTGTTATATGCATGAGTAGACTAGTGGCAGCAACCCTCCTCCTGGTCCTGTCTCACAATGGTGGTGGTGGTGGTGAAGGTTAATAATACTGTACCTTTAGTTACAGTGGCAGGGGTGATGTCCACATGATCTTTCTGCTTTTGCAATATATATATATATATATATATATATATATATATATATATATATGTATGTATGTATGTATGTATGTATGTATTTATATAAGCCAAGTTTTCCTGAATTATATATTTCTCTAATTTTTTCTTATATATATAAATATATATGTATATATTTTCTTTATTGTATAAAATATAGATATATATATATATATATATATATATATATATATAACCGAAAATATATATATATATATCGTCGAAAAAGAATTATATATGAAAATATATATATATATATAGAATATATATATATATATATATATATATATATATATATATATATATATATATATATATATATATATATATATATATATATATATATATATATATATATATATATATATATATATATATATATATATATATATATATATATATATATATATATATATATATATTCATATATATATATATATTTATTTATTTATTTAGGTTTTTATGGGGACGTGACTGCAAATGTTATGTTAACATTGCTGATTTGTAGTGTATCAAATACAGTACACACATTTTCAAGTCTAAATTTTGTTGTGTGTAGGGTTGGGGGGAGGGGGATGTCCTAAGATTGATCTTACCATATTTAATAAGAACTTCTCCAGTGATAAGCTATTATTATATACTGTACCTCCAATTTCTCCAATTTCTTAAGCATCTTATATCATGCAAAATATTTAGTTTTTATTTGTACTCATTTTACCTTCTAATATATTTTCATTATTTTCATTATTCAAAAAAAAAAAATCCAATATCGGGCAATTTTTTCTTTATTCATGTAGAGTAAAAGTCTGTCATTATTTTGTATTATTATTCCAGTAATCTAAAAATTTTCTGGTTTAACTGAAATATTAACCAGACTGTTGTAACAAATTTTGGTACTGTATATGCTAAATAAGACAAAATTAAATTAATATAAAGGAGGTCCTATACACAGAAAAATCTGTCTTTGAAAGATTGCATTGATTTCCTCTGTATACATGACCAAATTGTTGCAGCTCTGCGCACCCATGTGACCAAACTCGTGTCACTTGAATTGGGGGCACAGCACTCCACAATCTCGATTATTGCTTCTTCCCATCTTCCATCATAACACATCAGATAGTATTACATCACACTCATTCACACTCGCTTGCACTTACTCACTCCATCTAACAACTTCCTCTCATTTGTGATAAATAGAAAATTTGAGTAGATGAGAAAATGCAAATTTTATACCTTCCTGAATAAGTGTGCTGTGTGGGGAAAAAATTTATGCTATGAAAAAATACACAAGACTGACATGGGAGAATAACATCTGGAATGGGTGAACGGCTCTTTAGTTTAAGGCGACTGTATAGCACAGAAAAAAGTATTTGAGTTACTTTGGTGCAAAAGGACAACACATTTTGCCGACTGTTTGATATTTTCAGTAATAGAATCAAATGATCCACTCTAGATGAAGCAAGTTGAAAACAGAGTCGATGATGGAAAGAACGAACGAGGTGCAGTATTTTTGTAGTAAATGATGTAGAGTGGTAGTAATGTACAAAACTTGTACACATGTGAAAAGATACCCTTAGGCATGTTAAATATGAATGTAGTATTTCTTTTTATATAAAATAGATTGAATATCTAAAATTTTGAGAATTATGGATGATTGAAATTTGACAAATATTTTGGTACTCAATTTGAAGTACAATACTGTATATAAATATTGATTAGATTTGAGGATAGTAATATTGAAAGAGAGCAAGCATCATACAGAACCATAAAGTAAATGGCATCATTACAAAACATTTGATGAAATAATTCATCTTTGCAATGAAGATTACAGCCTATAATCTTCTTAAAGTTGGAGTGTGTTCCTGAAATAGTGGTGAAAGAGTAGTTGTGAAGAAATACTGTACAGGGAAAGTTAGTTGTAGATAAGTATGTGATATGAAAAGCTGTAGGATTGAAGAGCATATCAGACAGACATTGATTAGATGCTTGCTAGAGTGAAAACTTGTAGTGGAAGAGGAAAAACAGGAGGACCATGTGGCATGATATGGCAAATAAAGGAACAGAATGAAAGAAGTGATCTTTTCTTTTTGGTAATCTTTTCACACCTTAAAGTAGGTGTGCAGAACTTAATTTTGCAAATAATAAAATAAGGGTATGATTATGAATGTGTGTTGCTTCGAATGTGGGAAGGGTCATTTAAATTACAGTATATACAGTTGAAGCCTATTGTTTTATATCTTGGACATCCTCTTCACTGTTTGTTAGTCATTTATGAGTATTATTGAAAGAGATGCTACTAGTTATTGCACTGTAACTCCCACCACTACCACTGTTGAGGGAGATGAGTCAGAGATGTGATGCAGTGTTTGCCACATAGTATGAGTATGGTCGTCTTCGGAGATCCAGTTCATTCTCCAAGTTGCGAGCTTCAATACGACGATCTAGTGCCAAGCTGGTGCATAAACTACGAGGACGATTAGATGTTGATGGCGAAGACACAGACTTAAGGTAAGAATGTTTTTTATATCTGTTTAGATCATTTTTCATTCAGCTTGTCCTAAATTAAATGGGGGGGAAGGCACTCTGTGTCATATAGTATATATATGTACATTATATATACCTGTATATATTTGTTTTCAATACTGCATTCATTAGTTTTCCTTAAGTTTATTAAATTGCAGTGTTTGAAAGTAAATCTTAAATAAATCATAAATAAAATATGCATACCTAAGTATAAGTGTTCAAGTATACACGTATATAGAGAATCTTAAGATTTTGAAAGCAATAAACTTAAAAAAAAAAAATTATTTAAACAGCTCCATCTGTTTAAGGTAAGTTTGTCACTTGTTTGCATTTACCAACCATTGGGTTTTGCAGATTTTTGTCGTTACGCTTAAAAAATCACTGTTATTAATGAACTCTAGTATGAAAAAATGCTTAAAATACACACAGCATGAACTGTTCCATATAGCTGGCTGTTATAGTTTTGCACCCTTGTTGTGGTTCTGATGGTAGAACATAGATTTTGCTCAAAAGTAGTAGTATTAAAAAAATGCAATTGAAAGTGGAACAAATTAAAATCATTCGAGCACAGTGTGTGAATAATGAATATACATGTGCATGCATACATACATACATGCATGCACACACACACTTTTATTTTCCACATGCACAGTGTGTATCTGAGTGAGTTTGGTTGCTATGTTTAATTACCCAAGTGTAGTTACAAGACGAGATGTATGCTCATGATGTCCCGTCTTCCCAATAAGCTGTCATGTGAAGCTTTGAAATTACTAATGATTTTAGCGTCCACCACAACCTCACTTAAATTGCTCCAACCTTCTACAACTGTTAGGAAAAGAGCACTTAAGTATATTTTTTAAGTAATTTTGTTTCCTTAATTCTATGGCCTCTTGTTCTTGAATTTGCAGGTTATAAAAATTCTGCTTTGTCAATTGTATTCCTGTTACTATTTTATATGTGGTACTCATACTGGCACTTTCTTCTTTTTATCTTCTAGCTATGGCATATTTAATTCCTCCAGCTTCTACTCGTAGTACTTAATTTTTAGTTCCAAAGCCAGTTAGTAGCACGTCTTTGAACCCTATCTAGTTTATCAGTGTGATTCTAAAGATTCACTGCACCACTGCATATTCCAGTTTTGGCCTCATGAAGGTCATCAATGGGTTTAGTATTTTTCCATCATATATTTAGATGTAAGTCTGAAATTTGCTTGTGTTAGAGTAGGTGCCATGCACAAAATTTTCTATGTGATCTGGAGACGGTTTACTATCCAGAACTATATCTCTGCCTCTCAAAATATCGAGTTGTGTGATGATGCTTGTCACTGATATTTTGCCTTTTACTATGACCCCTCTTGTCTCCAGTGTCAGGCACTCCTTCACCCAGTCCAGTACCCTTTCAGTTATTCCAGTCTTCTTCTCCAGTTTGCCTTTTATGGGGACAGTATCAAAAGTTTTTTGGCAGTTTTGGGAGACAATGAGAAGTAAAAGTGAGATTAGGATGGAAGGAGAAAGGAATAGAAAGGTAGCAGTGTTTGTGAAATATTGTATGTGAAATTTAATTCTTTTAAACTCTAATAAAAGTAAAAATGTAATATAATAATGATGACCAAACCACACATCAGAAGATAGAGAAACGACGATGTTTCGGTTTGTCCTGGACCATTATCAAGTCGTCCTCACACAACTTGATAATGGTCCAAAACGTAATCATTTCTCCATCTTCTGATGTGTGGGGCTTGGTCATCATATCTTCAACCTGATTATTGAGAGTCATTGTCTGCAATATAATAATGTTAAGATGTTGCATAGGGACGTTGTTGAAATTTATTTACTTGGAATTATCGGTAGTTAAAAAATTTCTGTATAGAGGGGGGGGGAAAATATAGCTTTTTCTTTCAGAAATGTCCTTTCTCTATTCATCCATTGCATTAAGAATTATTACATCACCATATAATCTAAGAGGTAGAATATGAAAATCATTGTGCTTGTAAGGGGAGAGTAAATGTATTTGAAAATTCATGAGGAGCATTATACATTTGGTTCTATGAAGCAGATGGGTGCTGCTGATGCTATATATTGTATTATGAATGATATAATGAATGGACAAGTGGTATCTTTACTTCATTTTACTGTTGCTCATATTTTGTCTGGGCTGATGCTCCTCACCTCAAAATCAAAAAATCATCTCAAGATAACCTCATGGGAAACATGGTAGTGAAAATGTATATAGAGTATGTATGTAGAATGCTACTGCTGTGTTGGGGCTTTAGAAACTGGATTTCAGGATATCATTGTAATGAATATATTAGCCAATGGTGGTCAGTGTGGTGCAGATATGCCCTATTTTAAATATTGTACACTATAATTACCCAAGTGTAGTTAGAGGACGAGAGCTATGCTCATGGTAATCCCATCTTCCCAGTATTCATTGTCATATGATGCTTTGAAACTACTGATGGTTTTGGCACCCACAGCCTTCTCACTTGACTTGATCCATTTACCATTCTGCAAACGTGAACTTTCATATTTTTTTTGGCAGCTTTGTTTCCATAGCTTAAATCAATGACCTCTTGAAGTTCCAGGTGCTGAAGTATTATTGTGTATAAATCTATTTAGTGTATTATATCTAACCAATAAGTATTTTTTATTTATCCATAATGAGAAATTATTGATTTATATCAATAATTATATATGCTTTTCATATACTGTATTTACAGTACAGTACAGTACAGTATTTGCATTACAGGCTCGGCAGAGGTAACATCACACATACAGTGTATGTGCAGTATTTATTTTTCAGTAATTACACATCTTGAGATTTAATATTAATTAAAATAAAATTGCATTTATTTATTTTTTGTTTCAGAATGAAGCGGGCAAGTTCAATGTCCGTTCTTAGTGGAGAAGAAAAGTTTAAAGAGGTGAGTACAGTGCTAGAAAATGGTTAGAACAGTAAGTACTTCATGTAGGTTATACATTGCAAAGTAAGGTACATATGCTGTGTTGTTAAAAAGGAACCTAGAATGGGGCATTGACTTCAAGTACTATATTGTACATATGTCTAAGGATTGTGAATTGGAACGTAGATTGCTATTAGTGAAGTAAGTATAGATGCATATATTTGCTTTGAATATTCATTGCAACAACTAAAGAGTACAGTATACACTTCTCTTTCCATCCAGTTATGCTCTTTAGATCAGCAGATTCATGGGTCTCTTGAGAATGGGGATGGGAGGCATCATTGTAGACTCACGGTTGTGTATGGCTGTATTTCTGAAGACCTCATGCCCTAATTTCCCCAAGGCTGTCATAGTGCCATTACAACCACTGTAGAGTTGGATTTGGTCTGTGGGCCCCAATTTAATAGCCCTTATCTAGATGGTGCACAGTAAGAAGGAAACTATTTTTCACCAGAATTTCTTTCTACAGTGGTTTCTTTCATAACCCCTTTGCATATTGACTTGAAATTAGAAACACTTATGGTAAGTATTAGTTAAAGAAAGGTTTCTTTTGAATCTTGAATAGTTTAATCCCCAGTTGGAAAAAACAAACTTTATACAATAGGTAATTTATTTTATTTTAATTCTTCACAGATTCCTCTAGCTCTTCGTGGTCGAGCAGTCAGCTCTGAACACCTATCCTGACCAGCTGCTTCTGCCTTGCCCAGCCTGTGGTAGAGACTACCGCAATGCTTGCTGTTTCTTCTGCCTTTTCTCCATGATCACTGATAGTGAACCCTATTCTAAGAATACCCTGAGGTGTGCTTGTCATAATAATGTTAAAACTGTTGCTGTGATTTAGCACTATCTATATTACCATTTGCCATCCACAAAACAGCTTATATTTGTAATACAGCTCAAGTTCTCAACCAATAAATTTTAGATCTAGGTTGTCATTTGGAGGAAAGTGATTGTTTGCAATATAGGTGACTGCTTGTCAGTTACTAGCCAGCTAACTGCAGCTTCTTGCATCTAGGTACACAAATAAGCAAATTAAAACACCTGAAATCTTTAAGTAATTCAATGATGTGAAAATGAAGAGGCTTAACATGGGTATGTTGTACAGAGCCACAGTAGCTTTAGCTCAAGAAGTGTTTTCCTGCGTTAGGCAGCTGTATGAATTGTATTTTTAATTATTTTGAGATTACGTTTTTGTTTACTTTATTGAATTTTAGAATAGATAATTTTGAATGAGTAGGCCTAATACTGTACACAGTGTGTTTAAAATGTGAGCATGATTAACAAGTATAGTGTCCTTTTGCCAGTTTAATGGAAGACAATATGCAGCTTGTATGCTTCATATTGAAAGTTGCATATATTTTTTGTTTTAGTTCATTACGTATTCCTAAAAGTAAGATACGAGTAACTTTACCAACGAGTCGTGATAAGGAGTACAACCTAACAATTTATAGGTGAATTAACAATAACAAAAGCAAGAAGAGACAGGCATTATAATGGGAAAAAATAAGTTTCATACCATCATTAATATTTAATGACTGGAACAAGTGATTGACGATCAAGACTAGATTTAATATAAATCAGTTAAACATGCTATTACCAACAAACTCTCTTCCTTGGCATCTATTTCTTAACTCCAAGATGATATGGGTATGATACAACTAATAAATACAGATACACAAACCCCTCATTCTATAGAACATAGTGAGGCTTCACATATATATGCTTATACTTCTCCCATATATTGTAGATATTCAGTAATTTAGTGTTGAGGTATTATGGCTGTATGCTATCAGTGATAGTGGGGGATTGTGGGTAATTTGAATCTTGACACTTTATTTTGCAGTACTGTACCTAATGGCAGCAGCAGCAGCAGTGTGGTAGGTTTGTCGAGAACAGGTTGTAAACATCACAAGGTTCTTTAACGTTAAAAATAGCAATAGCAACTGCTAAGTTCTCTCCCATGGTGGTAAGTGGCAGCCTGGTCTTCCAGTGTTAACAAGGACAGACTTTTTGAGGCAGACTTTAAATTGTGAGAGAGACATGTATGGGTTAGGTAACCAAAACATAGGTTGTTACGATCATATCTGCAGTTAATTTTGGAAAGTGTAGAATAGAATGCGAGTCTTGTTTTGTAGTGAGAACACTGACACTACAATGTTTGGATGTCTAAGCTGCATTTGAAACCAATTAACTGGTATAGTGTAGTTACCAGGAACATTAACTACATATTGTGCTATTGTATGCATATAGTTTTCAAAGCCTCATATTAGCATGTTTCAGGAGCATTCATCTTGAACCCTGGCAGTAATTTTGTCCAACATTTTATCAGAATTATATTGCAGTTCTAGTTTTGATTTCTTGCACATGTATAGCCACAAAATGGTCAAGAAATTCCATTTTGTAATTTATTGAACTCATAGCTATTATCCTTTGAGTGAGAAGTATGCATGTGAAAAAAAAGAATTTATATTTAATATCAGCCTTGTGATTCAGTGTTACTGTACTGGAAGAGCCAAAATGTTACTGTAACTTTCAAATTGCCATTGTGCTGCTAATGACCAAGAAAATGATATTGCATTCCAGGATGATCTTGATAGATATCTAGTCTTTTATTTATGTAATATTTATGTATCTGTTTCAAGTTGGTTAGTTTGACAGTCATGTCATGTATTGTTAGCTGATCAGAATTAATATATTCTGTAAATTTTTGTAAAGTTATGCTATGTAATAAAGGTAATTATTTTAATTTTTTTGTATAAAAATAAATGCTAAACTAAATTTGTAAAGTTATCTTTAGGCTATTTATTGTTATGGAAAAAAGCTTTGTGAAACATTAAGGACTATGCATTATAACTACCTGTGGTAAACTGACGCATGTCCTCTAACAGCTGGACCACACGTTTCTCTTGAAGCTCTGGCTTTAGCAAATCTGGTATATGTCGTTACCTGGAAATAAGATTGTTTCAAAAGACTATTGTAACAAATATTAATTTCCTGGGACAATAAGAGCCTTTACAAAGCTCGGTATAAAAATCGTGCTATGCTGTCGGTATCCCTAATTGGCCATGTTGTGCACACGTGGTTGTGGTACGAGAATCTTCAGTCTCTTGCATCTGACACAGAAGCTGTAAAGGTTCCACCATCTCGGCTGTCTGAATGTTCACAACTTCAATTTTTGTTAGCTTCATGTCTGCTTTTGTCTGTGCATTCCCACAGTGACACAGCAACCAATGTAGAAAAGTTATCAATAAACAACTTGATGGCTTAACTGACTTTCATTATACAATTCATGTGTCTGCAAGTAAATACATTCTGGATCTTTGCTAGTTCATAGCAGTGTATAACAATTGCATGATATATCATTTATATTATGTATTCAATACATGTATATTAATGTTTGAATGTTAAGGTATCACATCTTTCCCCTGCTCTATAAATTCAGACCATATTAACTGCCTTTCCACACAAACACAGGCCCCAAGCAGTACTGGAGCAGTATACAAGTAATGTTCATGAAAGCAAATGATGTCGTGAGTAAGTTGGGGAAACTAGAAAGTTCAGGAGTTGCAGTTGCATGCCAATGCAGTAACAAAACCAAAAAGGAAAGCAATCTTTTTCCAAGTGGCTATCAGGAACGAAACAACATGGGTGGAGAGGTAAGGGCCCTGCTTTTACAAATACAGTTGAGTTTTGAGAAAATACTTTGGCAGATGTGGTCTGTCCACACTCTCGATAATAATCATCACAGACTTGGCAACAATAGTGGAAAAGAGGATTGTGGTATTGGTCATGTACAAACTACCTTATCCCCCCTCAGTCCCAGCAAATATCAGTAATCTCTGAGAAGAATATGGCAAATACAACAGAAGCGGTATAAATGTTAGTGGCAAGGGAAACAGGATCAAAACTCCTAGTCCTTTGGTGAAAATGATTAGCAGTGAAGGATCCTCATGGTGATGACACATGGAGATCAAAATTGGTGCACATTACTGATAGATATTTCCCAAAGCAGTGTATAATGCAACCAGCAAGGCTTAGTTTTCATCGTGATTGATGATTCATATAGAAGGGTTATCTTGAGAGGATTTCGGAGCTTAGCATCCCCGCGGCCCGGTCCTCAACCAGGCCTTTTTGTTACACACCCCCAGGAGGAGCCTGTAACAGCTGTTTAACTCTCAGGTACCTATTTACTGCTAGGTGAACAGGTGCATCAGGGTGAAAGAAATTGCCCATTTGTTTCTGCCTCCACTGGGGATCGAACCTGGAACCTTAGGACTATGAATCTTGAGCACTGTCCACTCAGCTGTCGGGCCCCTGGTGAGGATTCCGACAATTTTTATAAATTACTTGTGCCTTGGTAACTTGCAGTATTGCTACATATCTTTACTAGTCTATTTTATTACTTTTTAAACATCCTAGTTAGTAAGCTTTAATATAGAGTGCAGTGCTTATTATGCAAAGCATCAGGTCTGTTTTTTTGCCTTGGTCTTGATGTTCACAAGGTTTGAGAATTATGATTTACATAGATACGCTGCTGCAAGAAGCATAACTTTTTGAGCTTTCTGTCTAAGAACTGGCTAATCTTTCAGTTGGGTGAAAAATCTGAACACACAAGTTAAGCCATTTTTTTCTCTACATATAATTTTCCTGAATATTCATCAGTTGTCTTTGAAACCCAGGTATGCCATCTTCAAATTCTGTGACTTTTAAATTTTATGAATTTCTGACCACGTTGTGCTTTTGAAGCTTGACATTTTCTGGCATACAATGCCTGTATATCAATTCTCAACTTGAAGGTATTTAGGTGCACCTGAACTCTATTTCCCAGACCAGCCAGAGATAATTCAGAAAAGTCTTCCAGCAAGATGTTCAACTCTGGGAATACTGCTGCAGTCTCTTGTCTGTCTTCCTGTCTTCCTTCCCCCCCCCCCCCCCCACTCCTCCTTCCCAAAGACTTCTGGTTATTCTTGAAAGACTTTTTTCACCAATATCAACTAAGGTTTAGATACAACCCTACATGTGTGTTCAATTCATTCAGGTGATGGATGAAGTCACCCAAATAGGCAAATTTTGCAAATCAACCCAGTCATTTAATGCAGTCAACCAACTTTCTTAATTAACTTTCCTTAAGAGAACAAGTGAACAAGTAGGTATTAGTGCACAAACCTCATTTCATCCAACACCTTTGAAAACACCCTCTTGTTCAGGGTACTTGCTTTGATGAAGATTATGATTTTTGATGCAATCCTTGAAAACTAAATGAAACTGCATCTGCATTTCTTAGATTGCTAGAGTTTTCATTGCAAGAAGCATAATTCACAAAAATTACAAGATTGATCTCAGAACGCCAAATAATTCATGCACTTTTATTTAAAACACTTAAAAAGTGACAGTGGATATAATAACAATGTTGGTATGGAATAATGATAGAGTATTGTAAAGACACAGTAAGAAATATAATTAGACAAACAAAAAATTATTATAATTAAAGCTGGTAATTGAGATATACATTGAGAATTTGCAGTAATTTGGATTGATGTACAATTAATATTTAAGAAAGTACAGTATTGCGTACAAAACTAGTAAATGAGGTATGTACAGTACCATTGAAAACTAGAGGAGGGGTACTCGGCAGTGTCAGGGTTGATCGAGTGCTCGAGGCGACCTAGACACCAAAAGGTCGCAAAATGGGAGGGGATCTCAACCAGCCAGGGACAGTCCTTGCTCTACTATAGGGGGTCTCAAAACTGCAGTCCACAGAACACATCCAGCCTGTCATAAGAGTTTATCCAGCCTACAGCAACCTTTAAGTACAGTGCTGTACTGTAAATATAAATGATAAAAATCATTATTTCCCTTGATTTTTCTCAACCACGCAGTTGGACAGTTGACACATTCAATTCCTGTCTGGCGCGTTCCTTCCTCTATGACACCAAGCCAAAGTGTTATTGGCCTGGCGAACCCTCATTTTCAGTCATGTGCATCATGTGTTTTAAGACACCTCAAACAATAATTATTTATTGTCAGAATCTGAAGTCCATTCTAATAACAGCCTACTCAAGCTTGAAACCTCAGTTTAGCACTATTTTGAAATTAAAAAAGCAGTTCAGTCATTCCCACTATTCTTGTTGTGCAAAACTTTGATTTGTTGATTGTGACTGATATCTCCAATTGCCAGCCTAGAGTAAATGAGTTTTTGTTTCTTGAAAATTTGTATGCTCAGCTGCTTTTCATTGTGTCTAAACTTGTTGTTTGGCAAGCAGTCAGGAAAAATTAATACTGGTGTATTTTTGTTTTGGAATTCTCTCTGATGTTTATTATAGACTTATATTGAAAGGTGCAAAATTAATTTAGTTTTGTTCAACCTTTATTGATGGCTATAAGTTTATTTTGAAATTTTGTTTTGCTTTACTGGATTTCTTTCTTGAGGTATGCATATTTTTCTTACCGTGTGCCACAAAATTGGGCAAATTCTCATTTCAGGTAAAGATTTATAACATTTATGTAAATAAAATTAGTAAAAAACATTTTAGCCTGCTTTTCTCATCAGTAGTTAAGTAAATGATTCTTTCATCAGAGCATTTGGTAAGGTTTGACTTTTTACTAATTACTGTATATCTTTTCCCAGTGTAATCATAGCATCCTTTTTTTTTGTAATTACTGTACTGTATCACATTGTAACGGTTCTATTGTTACGTAAAGTATAGTGACAAATAAACACAGACACTAAGATACAATATATATATTTGGTCGAATATACAGAAGTACACAGGTGATACTTTGGTGTGAGTTGAGCGCACTGAGCGTCGGTACAGTATCTCGCAAGTGTCTGCTCTAGACCACACTTGAAAGTAGACTAGCCAATGTTCGCTACACCGCTGCTTATATTGCTTGGGCAACACCTCACCGTGTTGCCCGGGCAACGCCTCACCTCATTCATCTCCAAAGGTTGACAGGAATATTAACACTATATTTGGAGCGAGTATATTATTGGGATAATCTACTCGCTACAGAACTCCCCCTCCCAGGGGATGAAAGGAAAAATAATTGATCAAGGAACTTAGCTGGTCGGTGAATTGTACGCCCTGCTCGCGTTACATAACCATCAAAGTTAACTTCCTCCTCTTCGCTGATGTCATCTAACTGGGGTCGTAGGGTGGGAGGCCCGTTGTCGTAGGTGGCGGTGCTGCTGGTAACTGTGGTCGAAAAGTGAACTGCGTAGTCGGCGGATGTGTCTCTGGATTTAGCAGTGTCGCAGACGTTGAGACGAAGCCTGGAGCAGAGCAGAGAGCTGAGTGAGGCCGGAGTCGTGGAGCTCTATGTGGGAGAGCGTGGCGGCTCGATTGAGAATTGTGTGTCTAAACTCGGGGAGCGAGAGCGTGGCGGCTCGATTGAGAATTGTGTCTGCTGTCTGCTCTGTGTCGAAGCTGTAGCGTCTTGGGTTGATTAGGACTGTACACGCCGAGTACTACATTGTTGACTGTGGAAATTGTAGTCTGGTACTAAAAGATGTAGGCAGTGTGTGGACAAGCTCGGTGTAGCAGGAGAGAAGAATGTGCATAATTGTTGCGTCCTTGGGTCGCTGGTGGAGCATTTAGATCCGGGGCGGATGGGCTCGGGCACCAGGACATTAGGAGGTAATGTAGGCACGTAGTTAGGACAACGAGGGAATCACTGCTAGAGCTGAATTGTCCTGGAGGCGACGAAGTGTCGGAAACGCAAGCTGTAGGTCCTGTATTGCGCAAAGGCCTTGAGTCGGCCGAGTATCAAACTGCAGTGAACGTGTAGATGAATCTGATGACAGAGCAGCTGTCGTGGGCGTAGGACAAGCAGTGCCCTGGCAGCGACGGAGAGTCGGCAGGACAAGCTGTAGATCCAACATGATGTAATCATTGATGAGGCTGTCAGATGAGTGAGTAACGATCGTGGAGCAGCAAGCCGTAGTAGATGAAAATGCAGAGATGGACGCGATGAAAATCATAGCTGTGGCGAGGGTGTTGGCAGCGTTCCATCACAGCTAACAGTAGCAGTAGAGGTCCAGTGAGAGTCCATGTTGTAGTCCATCGTGGCTGGGTATCGTCGAAACTTCGTGAAGGTCGAAAATAGCCTCCATCTGCATGAACCAAAATTCTGAATCATCTGCGTTGTATGCTGGAAACCTGGTAGATAAATCCATGACGAAGATCTAGTTTGTGACTAGGTGTTCTTTTTCACTCACTGGGTCACCAATGTAACGATTCTATTGTTACGTAAAGTATGGTGACAAAT